TGCTCCACCCCACAGTGAGGAAACCAGAGCCACAGACGTAGTAAGATTTTCATAAAGCTCTGTGTTCAGGGGAAAGGACTCTTGTTCTGAAAGCATGCATGCCTCGATTTTATTATCGCGGTGTTGCTTATACTTCGCCTATGCGGTGGGAGGATAGTGGGTGGTTAATTGTTGTTTTCTCATGTTCTTGCTACACACAATAAAATGGTGGCGACACCGTTTCAGTATTTCTATTAAAAAAATATTGGTTTGTAAAAACCAAAAGCTGGGGAATTTCCTGCGCTGGATTCTTTAGGGTGTGGGTCCCATCACCACACTCTCCGCTTTCCCCTGAGTGCCAGAGGCGTGGCAGCGGCTCCGCCACCTCGCACGGGTGAGAACAGAAGTGAAATGTCAGGATGTGACTCACAAGCCAGCGGGTCGGGGCTGGGGAGCCCCCTGGCTCTCCTCTCTGGCCTCCCTGAAAAAGGAGAAGCTACCCATGAGTCTTGTGTCTGGGGGATTCCAGAGCTTGAATGTTTCCGGGGCTTCCTAGAACCTCGAGGGAGAAAAAGAGGTGACCCCTTCCCCAAACGCTGGCTGGAAAATCTTGAAACCCCCAGCCTCTGACCGGAAATTCCCGCTTGTGCTCAGCCTGCCTTGGGGGAATCTCCCTGGAGGACGTGACCAGCACGTGCTTACATTTAAATGTGCGTATAAGAAATATAAAATGCACACCCATATGCCAACCACTCGTTTTAGAAACTAGGACACTGCAAACACTTTGAAGCCCACACGCCCCTCCCCAATCACAACCCTTCCACTCCACAAAGGTAAACATGACCTTCGATTTGGCGTTCTCTTTATAATGTTACCACACGTTTATAAATTCCTAAACAATACAGTGTCGAGCTTTGCATCTTTCTGTCAACCTTAATGCATGCACTTTGCTTTTTCCTCTTCAGTATTGAGGTTGTAAATTCATCCCTGTCGATACTGGTGGTTCGTTCATTTTCGCTGCTGTGAAATGATGAAATGATGAGAACTCCATCATCTACTCATTCCCTTTCGGGTGGATGGACATTTGGGTGTTCTCAGATTTCTGCTGCTACCAACAGTGCTGCTTTGAATATTCACGCGTCTCTCTTCTGACGCTCATGTTCAAGAGTTTCTCCACCCAGCGGTGCCATTGCTGGGTCGCCAAGAATGACATCTTCACCTTTGCTGAGCTGTACACCCCTGTACTCCTGCCAGCAACTATAGGAGAGCTTCTGATGCTCCACATCCTGGCTTTGCCTGATCCTGGAGGCCAAGGGTCCTGGGTGCTCAGAACCCCCTTGAACTCAGCTTCTCTCTGAGCCAGGCTCCCAATGTTACTCTTGCCAGGGGTTCTTAGGCTAAGTGGGTTTTCCTGTTCTTCCCAAGTCATGTGAGTGCGATTCTCCAAATCTTTATTAAGCACCAACTCTGTCGGGCAGAGTGTTGAGGGGACACTGCAGCAAGTAAGACATTCTCTTCCTTCTCCAGACATCCATAAGACGCTCGGGGAGCCAGGACATGGACACGCAGAACGTGAACACCAAGCTCCTGCCCTCACGGAATCATTTCCTCCTCCTTCCTACTCAGCATTCGCCCTTGGGTGTATGGAAGACACGATGCAAGCTGTCTCCTGGGCTTCCCCACCCCAGCATCCAGCCACCTACTGGACAGCTCCACCTGGCTGTCTTCGGCGACCTTACATTCTACTGGGTAGAGGCCAGGGATGCCACCGACTATCTTACAATGCACAGACAGCCCGCCACAACAAAGAATTATCAGGTCCACGCGGCAATAATGCTGAGGTTAAGAAACCCTCGGTGGTTTAAAGTCACCCTCCTCCCCAAACCTCTCCCTCTCACACCCCTGTCTCATCAGTGGCACCTGCGTCCCCCAGTCCCTCGTGCTAGGGAGGTGGGCGTCACCTAGATTTCTCCTCCTTCACCAGCCAGTCAATCAACTCAGTCCTGACAATTGAGCCTTTCAAAGCTCTTGCCAACAGCTTCTCCTCTCCCTCTTCCTCGCTGCCCTTGGTCAAGCTGCCTTCATTTTTTTGTGGACTGTAAAAAACAAAAATAGCCCCCTAAGTGGTCCCCCTTCCCATCTGACCTCTCGCCATGCTGCTTCCAAAGTCTCATGGGCCTTCCCACTCAAAGGCCATTAGCCCTTCTCGTTTTCTTCAACTTTGCCATGTTCACCTTCAACTTTATTCTACAGGATAAAGGCTGACCGACTCCTCAGCACAACGCACAAGGTCCTGCTATTTGTCCCCCACCTTTCCCATCAGCCTTGAAAGGCAGTCGATGCTTCTGGCAGACTGGTCTTCTGCTCCACACAGACCTTGCACTCTTATGCCCTGTCTATGCGGTGTCCTAGAGCTGCCTCTGACAACCGAATTCCACTTACCCTTCAAGGCCCAACCTAGGTGTTCTTCCCTCTGTGAAGACTTCTCCAAACCCTCCATTAGGGTTAATCCCTCCTGATGACACAACTTCAACTTTTAATCCCAGTCTGACTTGAACGAGGCGTGGGGGTGTATGTACGTACGTGCGTGTGTGTGTTTCCCAGCATGTGTGTGTCTTTCTTGCTAGACTGGGAATGTCTTGAGGTCAGGAACTGTGTCCCCATCTTTGTGTCACTGAATGTCAAAGCCACTAGTTGATTATAGCGGGCAGAATTATGTCCCCCAAAAGACGTGTTCAATTCATAATCCCTGGTGCCCGTGAATGGGACCTTATTTGCAAATAGGGTCTTTGCAGGTGTGATCAAGTTAAAACCAGGTCTTGCTGGATTAAGGCCCTGATTTAATGTCGCATAAAAAGAGGGATATTTGGGAACAGACAGAGACACAGGGAGAGTGTCATGTGACAAGGGAGTCAGAGATCGGAATAACACGGCCGCAAGCCAAGGAAATCCAGGAATCACCAGCACCCACCAGAAGCTAGAAGGAAGGAAGGACTCTATCCTGGAGCCTCGGGAGGGAACATGGCTCTGCTGACACCTCCATTCCAGAATTCTAACCTTCACAACTGCGAGAGAATAAATTTCCATTGTTTACAGCCACACAGTGTGTGGCGCTTTGTTGCGGCAGCTCCAAGAGACCAACACGCTGAGCCAGCAGCAAGCTCAGTGTCTGGGAAACACATAATGCCTTCCCTAGAGGAACTTTTTGGGCACTAACATGTACGTAACTGACTTTTCCTTACTTCTGGAATTGTCTGCATACCAACTTTCCATGTCTTTGGGTTTTTATTTTATTTTAGAGAAGGTGTTAGATTTTGGGCTTTTAGACTCCTGACCATCCTGTCTTCATAAAGCAACTCTGGCATGGCCAGGCTTCAGACGACCAGGGGCATTTGCCTTCCTAGGTGGAGGTGTCACCACTGACCAGCCACTCACTCACTAGGTTCCCAGGAAGACGGCAGGTTCCCCGAGATGTGTCGGGTCCTGGCTCAGAGCATCCAGGGACACCGACACTGCCATTCCCTCTTTCTCGTTCTTTGGAAAGCGCAAACAGCTCAGGGGCCCGCCTTGGCCTCTGCTCAGAACTCTCTGGGGCCTTGCCGGTGTTCACATCCCTCACTCCCATGTCACGAACAGGGAACTCATTTGAGTCCCACAACCTGGAAGGAAGCAGAGCGAGGTATCAACATTTCCACTTCTCAGGTGGGGAAACTGAGGTGCGTCGCCCCAACTCACACAGCTTATAAGTGGCAGAATCAGAGCTCAAAGCCCAGTGTCCAGGCTCCCAGTCCAGCACTGGTTCCCTGAACCTCACTTCTCACCTGCTGTGCCAAGGAGGGCCGCCCGCAGGAGGGGGCCCTTTGGGAAGGGGTGCCCTTAGCAGACTGCCCCTGTGAGTGTGTTTCCAGGCTCAGGAGCCGGCTGGCGCTTCACTGTGAGATCTCGGAGCTGGAGGGCGCTGTGGGGACCACCAGCCCTGCACTGGCACCAGCGAGACCCAGGAGAGGGGTGGTTGCAGCTGCCCTCCATCTTCCCATCCTGGGCCTGCCTCATCCCTCTCGGGGCAGGACGGCTGCTGTGCCGACCTTGCAGTTCTGATCCCTGGGGAAGATCAGATCCCCGGTAGGCCCTGGCCCTCTCTCGGCCCACCTGAGGCTGGTTCCTGGATAGGAAGCACCTGGCGCTGCCCCCGCCCAGAGAAGCACTTGGTGGGTACAGGTGGTGCCTCAGCTGCCTGGAGCTGCTCCACAGCTCTAGTCCTGGGTGTCTATGTTTAATCTTTCCTTCCGGGGAGAAAAGCTGAGCTTCCTCTGCCCTGTTAGGCACCCTGCCCCGCCAGCCCAAAGTCCAGGATCAGAGAGGAAGGGCTGTCTGGGACACACTCGTGTGTTCGCTGAATCGTCTAAGGTTCCCCTTTGGGAGGGGCTGGCTTCGTGCGAGGCAGCGCGGAGAAAGCCCTGCCCCGTCCATCTCGGCAGGGCCCATTAGGGGTGGTGGCCCGGGAGGGTCCGAAGCCCTGGAGGGGGAGCACGCTCCCCAGGAAGGGGCCGAGCGCCCCGCCCCACGTTACCTGCTCTAACTTTCCCGCGGGCGCCTGCTCGGGTTTCTGGGCTAAGCGGGGTTCCCAGCAGAGCTCAGCCTGGCCCCCTCTTCGCGCCCGCCCCGCCCCACTCCCCGGCACCCCGGGCGGGACACCGCGCGAGGAGGCGCCCGGCGCCGAGCTGGTCCGACTGGTTCTGAGCAGGAAGTCTCCCGCCCTCGCCCCGGGCGGCAGAGCAGCCCCGCGCTGGCCCCGGCGTCCGTCGGTCGGTCCCGCGCGGGCCGGACAGTGCACCCGGCGCTGGTGGCCGCGATCAATGCGGCTTTGTCTGGGACGCCCACACCCCGGAGGCCGCTCCCGGGCCGGCGAATCGCAGCGCGGCGGCGCGGGGCGGGCGGGCGTGAGACAAGCGGCCATGTGACCCCACCTGGGCGGGCAGGGAGGGCGCAGGTGAGGCGGCGGCCGGCGGGGCGCCCAGCGACGCACGCGGCGGCGCGGCTCCGGCAGCAGCATGTCTGTCAGCAGGAAGGACTGGTCCGCGCTGTCCAGGTGAGCGGGGCCGGGCGCAGGGGCGCACCCTCGGATCTCCTCTGCCTGGGCATCGGCCTCCTCCCTGCCCGGACCCTGGCACCCTGGTCTTGCTGCTCCTCAGCGGGGACAGAATTGGGGCCAAACTCGGGACCCCTCCCGGTACAGGGTGCGCGCTCTTGCTTCTCTGTCGCTTCCTGTCCTCCCCTTGGGACCTGAGGCCTCAAACAGGGTGCTTGGGGAAGGCTGGTCCCCAGTCTGGACAGCCCCTGGAATGGGACCACCCCATGGGGTGGGGGCAGGCAGGAACGTTTTGGGGCACTGGGGAGGTGTTCAGGGGCAACCTCCAAGCCTCATTTCTGAAAGAAGCCTCTGGCCCTGCTCCCACGGCTCTGGTGGAGAGCTGTGGGGTGGGCCTGGAGGGGGCCCTCAGCCCCTCTTTGGAGGGGGCAGTAGGAGGAGTGCCACCTTGTAGGGCCAGCGGAACAGGCATCAGTGAATAGGACCAGAGGGAAACAGACCCTCTTCCCTCTAAGGGAGGCTCCAATTCTGAGTATGGCTTTTTAAACTGGCATCTGTGCTGGGGACCTCAAAATAGTTGTTGCCCCCCTCTGTGCCGCAGTCTTTATTTGTGAACTGGTCCCCCAAAGAGTCAAGGGACTGGGTGTCTTATCGCGGTCTGCTGGGCATCCTGTCCGGGCCAGAGAAGCCTGGGGAAGGGTGTCCAGGAGGCAGCACCCCTCATCGTGGTTGGTGACTCCTCCGGGCGCTATCCCCACCTCTCTCCACAAGGACCGTACAGGCATCTTTACTCCTCACTCCCCCACTGGGCACACCCTCCATCCTGTCCCTAGGGAAACTGAGGCTCATACAATCGCCCAGAGTGGGGGTCCTACTCCTTTGACCCCTTAGGCTCTAGCCAGGTAGAAATTGGCCCCTTGGCTCTTCCCAGGAGGCATCTGGGTCTTGGCTTTTTTCGCGAGGTCAGGTGCAAACCAGCACCCTGCAGTCGGGGTCCCACAGGTCTTCCCCATCAAGGCATTTTTCACAGATTCTCCAGCGCTCTAGAACCTCCTCCTGCCGCCTCCCGCCCTCCCTGAAGGGCGCCAGGGCTGCTTCCTTGTCTCAGACTCAGCCTCCCCCTAACAGCTCATCCCCTCAGGGCCAGGGGGCCACCTCTCCAGACCCTCAAGACCTAAGACCTCACACCACTCTGAAACACAGTTGCCCAGAAACCCCACTGCGGGGGGTGGGGGCCCATGGGGTCTAGAGTGGGGAGAAGGTAAGCTCCAAGAATGAAGGGAGCTCAGCGCTCTGGAGAAGGAGCCAGGCTGCCGCAGGGGTTGGACACACCTCAGAGAAATCTGTGCCGAGGGTGGGGCTGGCGAGTCAAGGTCCTGGACTCTGCATGTGGGTCAGTGTGCGTGGGGGGTGGTGTGGGAGTGTCTTTGCTCTGGGTGTGGGCATATCTGGGCCTACGGATGTGTGCTTATGTACGTGTGTGCGGCACAGGTGTGGGCAGGCGTGTGCAGGGTCTAGGTAGTGATGAGACATCTGTGTGGGCAGTAGGTTCTTGTGTTGCTGAATTTGGAGCTTGGGCGTTTGAGTATGTTCAACTTAAATGTTTATTGAAGACCTCAGTTCTGTGCATTGTTGGGTTAAAAGTACAAACCAGACACTACTTCCTCAGAAGCTCACAATCTGGTGGGGTCTGTGTGATTTTGTGTCTGGGAGCATGCCCGGATATGTACAGGGGGGTGTGGGGTGGGGGAGGCAGCTGGGACCCTGGCACTTTGAAAATAAGAGCAAGGTCTGTTCTTGGCCTGTCCACTGCTCAGGTAGACGTGGACTTGTGAGGCCGCAGGGGTGGGGCTGAGTTCCCATGGGATGTCCAGCATGAATTCCAGGGAAGCTCTGGGGAGCCAGTCCTGCCGTAGGAACTCCTGGTCTGCCCTCCTTGCTGGGCCCAGCCCTCGCAGAGCCCCGTGGGCAGACGCAGCTGCTGCCAACAGTCGCCCTGACGAGGCACCTGGAACAGAGGACCGCTCCCGCTCCGCTCCCTGAGCGAACAAGCCCTGGCGGGCAGGCAGGAAAGGGCTGTGAGTCACTGTCAACCGAGCCTCCAGCCTGGGGAGGACTGTGTTGAGGGTATGACAGGTAGGGGCCTGGGGGGGAGGTGGGTGGGCCAGCCTGCAGCCCGTCCTTGGCGTTAAGTGGAAACTCAGATGCTCCAGTCCTGGCTGGGGGTGGTGGTGAGCTGGCTGGGTGCCCTGCTCAGAGGCCTTGTCCTTTCCTCCCTGGACTGGCCTGGGGACGGGTGAGGCTGGGCCAGGCCTGTCTGCAGGGGGTGAGGGGTGGGTCTGAGAGTGCCTGGGACTGAGCAGCCAGTGGTTAATCATTTCCCTGCCTGGGCCTTGAGCAGCCCTGCCACCTCTGAGCACTGCCCTGGCTTCTCCTGAGTCCTCTCCCTAGACCATCAGGGCTGGAGGGACCTCAGCCATCACCCACAGTGACCCCTCCTGTGGAAGGGGAGCCTGAGGCCTGCCCTGCTCAGGGCCTGAAGACTGGCCCAAGGTCATGGGCAGGCCCCAGGCTCCCTGTTCTAGTCTCCCTTTCCCTACCCCATCCTCCACGATTTGCAAATGATGTTCCTTGAATCCCAGGATTCTACAAAATGCTTCAGGGGCGGCCTTCACACCCTCTCCCCACTTCAACCAGAGGAGCTGAGCCTTGATCTCTTCTGTGACGGGCTTCTATCTGTGATTCAATTCGGGAATACAGATTCTACTGCTAAACATAACATCTAACAACTGCACCTAAAACCCCGCTGTCAGTTGCTGCAAAGTAGATGGAACTTAGACTTCAGGAAGAAAACCCCAGGGAAGAGGTCAGACCAGCTCTCCAGTGAGTTACAGGGCAGAATGTCTAAGAGAACAAGAGGACCCCCCTCCCCAAAGGACGGAGTTGGTGAGGTCGGGAGCCGGGAGGACAGCAGCCCTGCGTGGAGGCGGAGAGAGGGATGTGAGCTCCAACTGCAGCCCAGGAGGTGGAGGAAAGCGTAGTTGAGAGGAAGGGGGTGGGGCAGCTGCCAGGGCCCTGGCATCAGCTGGGGGGTGGGGAGGAGGCTGCAGGTTCCATCCAGGGCTTGGCTCTGAGGCTCGAAGGTCAATGATGCATTGGCCACTGGGTTTCCCCAAACCTCTGCTCTCCCAGGCTGCACGCTGAGCTCCTGCCTGTCCTAGGGCGGGGAATCCCACACCTCCAGAGGCCCTCTGGGCCTGCTGGTTCCTTCCGCTGGATGTTGAGCTACTGGGCTTCCACTCTGGTTTGGGGCCAGCCCTCGCAGGGCGGTTTCCTGGCAGCTGGTATCCTGGTTAAGGGCATGGGCTTGGAAGGCCAACCTAGTTTGAAATCTTGAGTCCTTCTTTGTATTAGCTGAGCTATCTTGGAAAAGCTATTAACCCCCCTGAGCCTCAGTTTCCACATACGCAAAATGGGGATAACACCCCCTTCCCTCACACAGTCGTAGAGATTAACATCACGGTGTTAGAATAGTGCCTGGCATTAGAGTTAGCACTTGGGTGTTAGGGCACTCCTTCTTCCTGTGTTCCTTTATTTATCGATATTATTATTCACGGTATTTACCAAATGTTAAGCACTGTCCTAAGCTCTTAATTATTTATTATTGGGGTTTCAGTAACTGCACCTGCTGAGGTCCTCCTGGGGACCGACCTTTGCCTTCCCTTCTGTTTCTGTCCAATTCCTCATCCTTGGAGGCCGGTCACTCTGCTTATGGGAGGTAACATTTCTCCCCCGGGGTGGGGTGGTGGGGAAGGGACTTGAATTTTTCCAGGGCGTTGAGTGGAAGGCAGCCCTGTGACTCCTGAGCAGCAGGGGCAAGGACCACAGCACCTTGGCTGGACTGTGGGGTTTTGGTGCAAAGCTTGGGGACACCTGAGGACACATGGGCCCTGCCTTCCACGGTCCAGCCCTGGAGACCCCTCAGGACTGGGACTGGCCTGGGGAGTGAGTCATTTCCAGGGAGACCAGGCTCTGACCGATCCCACGCCGTGTAGGCCCCACGGAGGATGGACAAATAGGCTGCTTCCCGCGGGGCTGAGAGCGGGCGTGGGAACCGGGTTGCTCAGGAATCCTGGAGGCTCCAGCCCCGCCGGGCTGTGGGTGTGGTCAGGGGAGAGGCGCTTCCAGTTCTGTGGGTCACTTTCTCCCGTGGATCCCTCGGCTTTGGAGGGTACAGGCTGTTCTCAAACTGTGGCCAAGGAGCAGGGCTGCGTCCAGGACAGAGCTGAGGACGCGGCCTCCCGTGAAAGCCAGCAGGCATTGGCATTTCTAAGTCTGAGTGGGAGAAGCTGGGGAGGGACGTGGTACCAGAGCCTGCCTCTCAGAGACCAGCGGTCGTGTGCAGCGAGCGAGTGACGAACGCTCACGGAAGTCACGGGAAGGCCCGGGAAGCTTGCTTAGGTCCCACGGTGAAGGCCATGGGGGAACTTTGATCCGGGCCCTTCCCCATCGCCACTGACGTGGGATAGAGGTGAGACTGGCACCGGAGGGATTGAGGTTCTCACCGAGAACAGCCGCCCTGACGGCAGAATTGGGAGGATCTGGAAGGTTCCCTCCCAAAGGCAGCTCTTTCCTGTGGGTGATGGGCGGGTGCTCCCCTGCCCTGGCAGAGGTGGGCAGATCGCCTTTGGGGGCGCTCAGGGCTCGGTCCCCCGTGTGTGCTCTTCCGGGTCGAGGCAGAGGTTTGGCGATTCCTAGGGAGGAGAGAGCGCTGCTCGCCTGGTGGGTGCCGGCGCCATGCCGGGTCCTGGAGACGACGGATGCCCCGTCCTGTGGCGGTTTCGCTCACGGCCGCAACTTCACATTTTCTTTTCAGACCTCTCATGCCTTCTCTGTTTTCCTTCATTCACTCAGCTTAAAAAAACAAAGCAAAACGTAACATGTGTGTATTTATGTACAGTATACCTCGATTTAAAAAAGCATTCTTTCAGTCCACATTCCCCTCTAGCTATGTCTCCTTTGGTGTGCTCTGCTTCTCAGTAAAACTTCTCAACAGAGTTGCTGCTGGTCACCAATTCTTTCTTCTTGGTTCCCGTTCACCCCTCACCAGCCCCGTCAGGCTCTGGCCCACCCACTGAAGCTGCTCTTCCCAGGGGACCAGGCACCTCTGTGCTCACGACTGCGCCCTGGCGTCATTGTCCCTTGTAGTAGTAGCATTTAACTGAGGCCCTCGCTCTGTCCATGCCAGCACCCTTGCCTGGTTTACCTCCGGTCTCCCTGGCTGTGTGTTTTTGTTTTTTTGTTTGTTGTTTCTGTTTTTTGAGAGACAGGGTCTTGCTCTGTTGCCCTGGCTGGAGTGGTGTGATCATAGCTCATCGCAGCCTCAGAATCCTGGCCTCAAGCCATCGTCCTGCCTCAGCCTCCCGAGGAGCTGGGACCACAGGCGTGTGGCCCCATGCCCAGCTGGCTGCAGCATCTCGATCTCCTTTGCTTTTTGCTGGTTTCTTCTCCTTCTGAACAAGCCAGAACCACAACTCTTCATGTTCCTGCTCCTTCCATTGTAGCCCACCATCCCGCCGGACTCCTTCCTCCTCTGGTCTTTCCCAGCTTACTCATGGCAGCACCAGGAATTGCTCTTGCCAAAAATCTAGTTTTCCTTGATTCTTCTCTTTTCCTCACCCCCACCCCACCCCCCAACATCCAGTCTGTCAGCAAACACCGTCGGCTCTATCTTCAGAACGTGTCCTGAATCCGTCACTTCTCCCCATCTCTCTGTCGCCCCCTGGTTCAAGCCAGCACAGCTCTTGCTGGGCAGTGCAGGCGCGTTCTGACAGGACCCCCTTTCCCCTCTGCCCCTGCCCCCTCCAAGTCATTTTCCGTACAGCAGCCAAAGAGATTAAAACGTAGAAATCCCATCGTGGCACCTCTCCGGACAGCTCTCCAGCACACCTAGAAGAGAACCCGAGTTCTCTCCCTGGTCTCCGGGGCCCTCTGCTCTGGCCATGCCTCCCTGTCCGGCTTCCCTGCAGGCCACACCCCGGCTCTGACTCTCCCTCCTCCCCTGAACCCCCAGCTCCTCCCTCCCGGGACCCACACTCGCTGTGCCCTCCTCCCGGGGCACTCTGTGGCTGGGTCTGGCTCTGCTGGCTCCTTCTCACGAAGCAGCCCTCTCAGAGGACTTCCCCACTGTCACCTTCTCACGTCCCTCACCTTGTTACATTGTCCTGGGACTCTGAGCTGATGTCATTATGTTCGTGGGCTTGTGTCCTTGCTCACTGTCTGACTCTCCCCCGTCCCCGGATATGTGCTCCACGAAGGGGAGGACCCTACTGGTTTCTCCGTCCCGTATCCCAGCCCCTGGAGTCCTGGCTGGCACGTAGTAGGTGCTCAGCAAGTATTTGGTTAGTGAATGCTGGCTCAGTGAATATGATGCTGGACCAGGAAGAAAGTTGGAGCCATCGTGTGGCATCCTCCTCATTTTAGGGGGGGAACTGAGGAAGAGAAAAGCAAGTGACTTGCCCAAGGGCAGGAGGGTGAGAAACTAGAGCATCTAACCTTGCCTTAGACTCCCCTGGGAATCTGTCCTCTAGGAGGCCCACAGATGCATTTTATGTACAATTTTCAGGTTTTTTTGATTTCCCTTTCCCCCCAGAAATGTGTCTCCTTTTTAAATCAAGGCTTGGTTGCGTGGCGATGCCCCCTGGTGGGGGACAGCTCAGCAGGAGCCAGGGCTGGGAGTGGCAGTGGTAGCAGCTGAGAGAGCAAAGAGGGTGGAAAGGTGGCATCCAGCAGTGGCAAGGGGTGGCCTTACAGCCACTGCTGGAGCCCTGGGAGGGAAGACGGGGGCCTTTCCAGAACCTTCCAACATGGGCTCCAGACAGCCCGGGGAGTCACAGGGAGGTGCCAGGGAAGGCTCACCCGCCGGCTGCCCATCAGCCTGCTCCCCCCTGCTCCGGCCCTCTCCTACCTCTGGGCGAATACCGCCTCCCGTCCCCAACAAACCCTGTGCCTGCTGACCTCCCCTGGCCCGGTCTCTCCCCTCTGCCTGGACTGCCAGTTTCACCCCAGTCCCCGTCACCCAGGATGCTCTGTGGGATCCAGCCCAGGTCCGGTCTCTTCCATCAGCCTTTCCCGAGGGTTTGGCCCATGGCAACCGCTCTCTCAGTCTGCAGAGCAGCATCCAGACTCTGGTTGGGGGAATTACGGATGGACACGCTTCTCTTTCTCACTAGCTTGCCGGTGTCTCTGGGGCAGAGACGCTGCCATGTCATTCTGTCATGCCCCCTGACGATTCCTGATACGGTGCTGGCCTGTCACCGCTGCTCGGCCAGCATTTATCTGCTCTTTGGTTGGGTTGGAAGGGTGAGTGGGCGGAAGGGGAGATGGGCTGGGGGTCGGTGCGTGGTATGGCAGGGGGACAAGGATGACGGGGACAGGCAGGGCCCTGGCGAGGTGGGTGTTTGGACTGACGGTGGCCGGGCGTGTAGGTGGTGCGTGAGGACGTAGTGGCTGGATTGGCGGGGTCAGCTGGTTGGCTGTAGAGTGCCCGGGTGGCTCCGTGAAGGATGAGTGCCTGGGGGCGGGAACCGGGAGTGGGGCGGGCGGGGTCCTGTTGCTCCCCAGACGGGGAGAGTCGTCTGGATCTCCATCCAGATCCTCGGCCTCTGTGGCTTCGCTCTTTCCGTCACGAGGGAGGGAGGGAGGCACAGGAGCTGCTCGGAAGTGAAGGGGAGATGATGTCGGAGTCTAATTTCCGGTATAATTGGTCTTATTTGTGAGTTTCCCCTTCCTAAAAACTAAGAAATTCTGTGGGGAGTTGAGTACCTCCGAGGAACTTTCTCCGTGACTGTCCGTGGAGGGATATTGCCTAAGAATCCCGAGACCAAAAAGAGGCACGTGGCGAGTTCACCTACTTCCTGCAGCAGGACCACGCCCACCCTGCGTGCGCCGGCCCGAGAGGGGGCCCCAGGTCCCACCCTGGAGTCCAGAGCAAAGTCCAGGCTAGTGGTTCTCATCTGGGGCGACTTTGGCCCTCAGGGGACGTGTGGCAGAGTCGGGAAGCATTTTTGGTCGTCACACCAGGGAGATGGTGCTACCGGCATCTGGCAGGGAGAGGCCGGGGATGCTGCCAACATCCTGCTCTCAGGGCAGCCTCACACACGGAATTTTCTGGGCAAAATGTCAACGGTGCTGAGGTGGAGAATCCCTGGTCTAACCTAAATCCCTGTAGCCATAGTAGAAATTTAATAGCCCTAGAATATGAACTATTAACATTTAAAATTTTGGGGTAGTCACATTAAAAAAGCAAAAAGCAAAATTAATTTTAATAATATGTCATTTACCTCAACATACCCAAAATATTACCATTTCAGCATGTGATCACAATACGCAATTCTTAATGAGAGCTTTCGCTAGTCTTCGAAATCCAGGGCGTGTTTCACGCGCCACGTCTCAGTTCAGACCAGCCACGGTTCCTGCGCGGGCCCGGAGGGCCTTTGGTCTGTCCTCCCAGCCCCACGGGAGACTGGCCCGGGCTGTGCTGACCCCCTCTCCCCCTGCAGCCTGGCCCTGCAGCGGACTCTGGAGGATGAGGAGGAGCAGCAGCGCGAGCGCAGGCGGCGGCACCGCAGCCTGAGTTCTACCACGGACGACGAGGCTCCCAGGCTCAGCCAGAACGGAGACCGGCTGGCCGCTGCGAGGTGCTCGGGCCAGGGTGGGGCTGGGGCATCATTTCCCCATCCTGGGTGGCGGGGGTGGACTCGGCTGTCCCCGACAGACCGAGTGTGGCCTGTGTGGCCTGCCCAGGGAATGAGACCGAAGGGCGTGAAGATGAACTTGGGGTTCCTCACCTTCCCCAGCCCTTCCCCAGCCCTGCCAGCTTCCGCCCTCGTCGTAGCTACGGTGGCTGCCGTGAGCCGGTACTTTGCTGGACACGGGTGGACAGGGCTCACTTAGTCCTCACGCTATCCCTGAGGGAGTAGACTTGCTAACCCATTTACAGGTGGAGAAACTGGGTAGAGCCATACTTAGGCGACTTGCTGAGATCATTTACCTAAGGGAGCGGCAGAGTCAGAATTTGCACCCAGACCTGGCAAGCTCTGTGGGCCAACACTTACCATGAGCCAGGCTGCCCCCTCTAGCCCTGGCCCTCCAGGACTCACTCCTGGGGCTATTTTGCCACCTGGGTTTGGGGATTATGAGGGAAAAGCAGAGAAAGGGTCTGGAATGTGCTCAATGCTCCTACATGCCAGGGCCGTGCTGGGCACCCTCACAAGATGACTCTCACTTTGCTTCCCGACAAGCCCAGTTTGCAGATCTGAAAACTGAGGCTCAGACAGTGAGTGACTTTGCCCGAAATCACACGGAGATCAGGGTGGTGAGGAAGGAAAAGCAGCTCTTGCTGCAGACCGCGTGCTAAGGGTTTTGGAAAATCCTCTTGTGTTGCTCCTGCTACCTTAGGTCCCCCAGAGAAGGGAGCACAGGGTGCGTGCCCTGGGCTGCACCGACAGCTGTCACCTAGTCCGGCTGTCCCCACATGACTGACAGGAATGTGGGATAGAGCATCGGAAGCCCTGGGTTCTGCTCCCTGTTCCCCTGCCAATTAGCGGTGTGACCTTTGACCTGAACACTTCTAGTCCCGACCTGAGGTGCAAGGGGCAGGGGCTGTGTTTATTCCTTTGACCCGTAATGCCCAGCGCAGGGCCTGGCACATACCAGGGTTTGTTGATTGTTTCAACATGGAATGGTTGGGCCTTACAGGGGCTTACAAACTTTTTTAAAAAGCATGAAGTGCTTCGTTTGAGTGACACCTTGAAGGCCCACATAGAGTGGACAAAGGTGGTCCTTATTTAAGTGGTGGCGGTGGGGAGGCCCAGGCCCAGAGGCCTCAACTCTTCCTCGGTGGCCCTGGAGGCACCTTTGTTGGGTTAGGTACACTCAGGGTCCCTCCCACCCTGGTGTCTGATCCCACCCCCTCTCCCATCTTCTGACTCAGACTGCCGAGCGTGGAGGAAGCGGAGGTGCCTAAGCCCCCACCCCCAGCCTCTAACTATGAGGACGAGGACGAGGACGTCCAGGCCATCCTCAGGACGCGGCAGGAGCGGAGGCAGAGGCGGCAGGTGCTGGAGGCCGCGCAGGCCCCCATCCAAGAGAGGCTGGAGGCAGAGGAGGGAAGGGACAGCACCGGCCCTGGGCAGGCCGCGCAGCAACCCCTGACACCCAAGAAGGAACTGGAGCCCCCACCTCGCCGCAGACTGAGCCGGGAGCAGCGGGGGCCCTGGACCCTGGAGGAGGAGAGCATGCTGAGCAGGGAGCCAGGAGGCAAGAAGGAAGGGGCTCCAGAGAAGACCCCAGTCCTGGAGAAATCCTCCGTGCCAGAGAAGACAGCCCCCGAAAAGAGACTAGTCTCAGAGAAAACCTCCATCTCCGAGACGGTGCTGGCCCCAGGGAAAACATCCCCCTCCGAGAAGACAGCGGTGTCAGAGAGAAGACACGGGTCGGAGAAGAAGTTGGTTCCAGAAAAAGCAAGTGTCTCAGAGAACACTCCGGCCCCTGAGAAACGATCTGTGTCCGAGAAGACAGCAGTGACGGAGAAAAGGTCCATCTCAGAGAAGATGTCAGCTGTAGAAAAGACAAGTGTCTCAGAGAAGCTGTCGCCCCCAGGGAAGATGTCAGGCTCAGAAAGGAGACTGGTGTCTGAGAAGGCATCACTCTTCGAGAAGTCCCTGGCCTCAGAGAGAAGCCCAGCCTCAGACCCCAAGCTGGCCCCAAAGAGGGCAGCGGCCTCGGAGCAGCCCCAGGCCCAGGAGCGGCCGGCCTCGGGGGGAAGCCGGACCGCCACCACGGAGCAGAGGGAAAGGACCCTCCGCGGGAAGAACCCGCCTGCCTTGGCAGAGCAGGGGGCGTCGGACCCTCCCACTGTGGCTTCCCGCCTCCCGCCAATCACACTCCAGGTTGGCAGTGCTCCCGTCCCGCCCCCCCCCCCGCCCTCCCCACCAGTCCCACCCAGGTGGTCCCTGGCTCCCTTGCTGCCTCCCTCCCTCCCACTGCAGGCTGGCCTTGGCAGGCCCTCTTCTCTCCCTGCCTGCTTCCAGCCGTGGTCGGAACAGGCACACCGAGACGGGGACGGGCTGCTGGGCTCACAGGGCACCAGCTGTGGGGCAGGGAGCACCCGCTACCCCGTACCACATCCTCTGCCAGAGCCTGGACTCCAGGACGCCAGCACTCTTGGCAAGCCTCAGGTCCTTCCAGAAGCTCCCTAGAAAGCTCTGCCTGGTGGCCTGGCCCCAAGGGACAATGTCTGCCAGCCACTCCCCAGCAGATAAAGGAGGCAGGAGAGAAAGGCACAGGGCCGTCCCCGCTGCTCTCCCCTCTTCCTGCAGCTCCTGGGAAGAGCCACGCCACAGGGGGTCTCTGGCTGCCTGGGCCTGGTGGGCCCTGGTCCTCTGTGTGACACGCCCCCTGCTCCATCCAGGTGAAAATCCCCAGCAAGGAAGAAGATGCAGACACGTCCTCACCCACCCAGCGCACCTACAGCAGCTCCCTCAGACGCTCCAGCTCCAGGACCATCTCCTTCCGGGTGAGAGCCCAGGGCATCCTCGTCCACCTTGTCCATGGGCGGCAGGCCAAGGAGCGAGCGTTCGCTACAGCACGGGAGCCGTGGGTTAGAGAGCAGGCCCTCTGCATAGAGAGGGGCTGTGGATTCCTGAGGGTGGCCCAAACCAGACAGGTGGCATTACATAAAGGAGAGCAGGTTGGAGGCCTAGGAGGGGGGTGTCAGTAAGTGTGAGCAGCCCCCTCTAGTGGGGAAGGCCAGTGCTGCAGGGAGGTGGCCCGGCAGGGACCGCTCTGGGCTGCAGGAAACCCGCACCTGCCTCCATCAGTTCCTGGCCTGGAGAGGATGCTTGCCCTGGAGGGAGGGTGGGAGCAGAGAGCAGCAGGGCTCTCCTAGTGCTCGCTCTCTGCCACTGCCCCAGTAGGACAAATGATGTGCCTTGTCCCAGCACAGATTCTTAGTTCCTCTGTTCACGGGTCATTCACGCATTCATGGGCTGACTGGGCATTGTGCCTCTGACGTGTGCCAGGCCCAGGGGGTGTGCTGGAGGCCTGGTGTTGGTCGGTGCCCCACAGGGCTCGTGGGCAGTGGGGGGGCAAGGAAAACATGGTCTCAGGCCCCCGAGAAGGAGCCTAAGGAAGGCCTTGTGCCCTGACTGGCGGGTGGGGCAGGCGTTTCCCAGACAAGGGCCTGTAATGAGGCTTGGCCAGTATTTCCCTGGCTGGGAGTGGAGCAGTGGAGAGGGTGGGAGGTCCGAGGAGGAGGAGGTGTTCTGAGAGCTCTCTCACAGGGGCCACCGACTCACCGACGCCTTTCCTTCTCATTCCAGATGAGCCCCAAGAAAGACAGCTCCGAAACGCCCTTGACCCGCAGGTGGGTGGCCTGGGGGCTTTGGCTGTCTCCTGTTTGGTTACGTTCAGACTGTATTTTCTGACCACCTGCCACCCACGCTCCTTGTGCCAGGCTGTGCCGTAGGGCACACGAGGGGACAGCTCAGTCCTTGTCTAGGGCTCCAGATCTGGTGGGGGTGGGGGGGAGATTTAACCGGAGAAACTAATGCTGGGTGATATGGGACAGGGAGGGGAGGAGGAGGAGGAGGAGAAACTAATGCTGGGTGATATGGGACAGGGAGGGGGAGGAATCTGGGAGAGCTGCTTGGAGGAGGCAGGCCTTGGGTGGGGCTCTGAAGGGTGAAGAGGGTTTAGTCTTGAGGTTAGGAGTGGGAAGGGGGGCTGGGCTCCTGAAATCCCAGCATTTTGGGAGGCTGAGGCAGGAGGAGCACTTGAGCCAGGAGTTCGAGGTTACACTGAGCTGTGATTGCACCACGGCACCCCAGCCTGGGTGACAGAGTGAGACCCTGTCCCCTCAAAAAAGTGGGAAAGTGGAGGAGGGCTTTCCAGGAGAGGGACCAAGAACAGAGTAGGGAGGGGCAGCCTCTGCCTTAACAGGCCTTGTGTAGGGCCCGGGAGTCTGCAGGTTTGACGAGTTCCCCATGCTCCGTAATGCTGATGCGAGTAGTCTGAAGACTGTGCTTTGGAAAAAACCCTGAAATAGCAGCTGTACTTACGTGTTAGGAATTCCATCCACTCATGCTGTATTCATCCACACTCTGCATGTTTGCTGAAGCCTACCGCGCTAGGCCAGGCCTGGGGTGGGGCTGGGGATGGAGGACGAGGAGTACAAAGATGAGTAAGACAGTTGCTGCCCTCCAGCAACTCATACAAGACCACGAAACACAAGCCACCCAGGCGGGCAGGTACACGGGCGGGAATATGAACTAAGGCTGGCAGCTCAGCCCGCCAGAGCTGGGGAAGGTACCACAGAGCAACTGACGTTCAACATAGGACGTCAAGGACTAGTGGGAGATTTCCAGATGGAAAACTAGAGGAATGGCATTTTAAATAGAGGGAACAGCATGTGAAAAGGTGAGAAGTGTGGGGTGTCCCATTGGCTGGCACAGAAGCACGTGGCAGGGAGGGGCGCAGCACTGGCATCTGGGGGAGGAGAGGCAGGGGCCAGATCCTGGGAGCTCATGAGCTGTGCCAGGGACTTTGGTCCCTATCCTGCGGCCCGAGGGGTCTGAGCCAGAAAGACAGGATCAGGTTTGTTTGAGTAGGAGCAGCCTGGTGGCAGAGGAGAGGAGAGCGGAGGGAGGCAGCGGGAGAGTGGGGGGGTGGTGATTGCGTTTCTAAGGCGTGAGTGACAGGGTGTGGGGGCAGGAGGGAAGAGGGAAGGGGTGGAAGACGTTTCTGATCCTGGGCATGTCCTACCGAAGGGGGCGTTTCTGGGGGGGGCGGGGCCAGCGCAGTCCCCGGGGTCTGGTTCTTCGCCAAGCCCATACAGCCCGCTCCGTAACGGAGGACCGCGCTTCCTTCACCAGATAGGTGGCGCAAAGGGGCGGGCCTGGGCTCCCCGGGGTGGCGCATCTCACCCGGTTTGTGCTGTCTCCCCCTGCAGTGCCAGCGTGAGGCTGCCGGCCAGCGCGGCGAGGCTGGGGGAGAAGCTGGAGAGATACCACACGGCCGTCCAGGTGGGCGGGGCTCCTCCCCGGCGGGGGACCCAGGGGTGCGGCAGGCGCGGTGTGGCCCGTGCCCCTCGCCGGCCAGCGCGGGTCAGCAGTTTGTGTTCCCTGTCCCCAGAGGTCGGAATCCGTCAAGTGTCCGGGCTCCTCTCGCACGGAGTTCTTCGTGGCACCTGTGGGCGTGGCCAGCAAGCGCCACCTCTTTGAGAAGGAACTGGCAGGCCAGGGCCGAGCGGAAGCAGCCTCCAGCCGCAAGGTGAGGGGCTCGGCCCCGCCAGGGGGCTTTAGTCTCCAAAACCTCGAACCTTGCCCTGGCGGTGCTAGAAAACTATATTTTCACGTGTCAGTTAATGTCGGCAGAACCTTGACCTGAGTCCCCACTCGCGTTCCTGGGCCCGTCTCCTTGGCTGTGTCGTAGCTCCCTGGGGGAAGGCGAGGGGCTGACCCAGGCGTTCGCGGCATGGGCCGTGTGTGTGGGAGTGAGGTAGGGTCCTCCCCCCCGTTCCAGGGCTCTGGAAATGCCTTGCTGCTGCCAGGGGCCCCAAACCCTGAGAATGGACGCCTCTGTTTTTAGGAGAACTTGAAGCTCTCAGGGGTTGTGACATCCAGGCTCAACCTGTGGATCAGCAGGACCCAGGAGTCTGGAGATCAGGACCCCCAGGTACCCTGTCCCTCCCAGATGTCTCTTGCTGTGGGCCCTTTCACGGTGGGGCGGTCAGGGAGAGGGGGGGACAGCCCCGAAAGCAGTGAGTCGTTCAGGTGGTAGGGAGGGCGTGGATGGGCCTGGCGGGGTGGAATGCAGCAGAGAGGAGGGCGGGTCTGGGTCCTCTGTCCTTTCAGGAAGGAGGAGGATATCTGGCGTGGGGGGATGGGCCTGGGATCCCGAGCCCCTGGCAGCCCTGCCTTAGTCCCTGCTCTCCGCCTGACGCCCCAACCAGGAGGCCCGGAGAGAGTCCGCAGCCACCAGCAGGACTCGGTGGGGGAGGAAACCAGACTCCTCCCTGGATGCCGAGGTGAGTACAGTGGGCAGCGGGCCATGGGTGCCGGGTGGGAGACCCCCACGTGCCCTGCCCCCATGTGGACACACACTAATCGGCCTGCAATTGCACAGTCCGAGCACCTGGAATGCCCCCATTCCTGCTTGCACAGGCTGGTCTGAGCCACCCTTGAAAACATCACAGAGCCCTCGGCTGGCTTTGCTCCCTGCAGCTCTGCAGAGCCCCCACCCCTTCAGCCACCACATCGCAGGGCTCTGACCAAGCGTGGGCGAGGGGCTTAGGCAAAGGCATACCTTCCTGTCTAGAGGGTCCCTTCTCCTCCTAGCCCCAGGAAGCCCCTTTCCTTGTCATAACAGACCTTTGCCCCACAGGTGTGACAAGCCCTGCCGAGACAGACCTGCAAACCTGCATCTCGGGGCCTTCCCGGGCCCTGCCTCCTGCAGCACCGCCCTTCCTCTTATTGCCCCTGCTCCCTTCCTGCCCCTGGACCTGCCTGGCTGGGGCCTCTGGGGGCAGGAACACCTGTGAGACTCAGCCAGCTCCTTCCAGGCCCTGCCTCTAGGGACAGCGGTACCCTGGCACCCTGTCCTGCTGCAGATGCTGGAACCCAAGCACCAGCTGGGGGCCCGGCACTGGTGCGTGTCAGCATGGTGGGGCCTCAGTGTCCTGTCCAGAGATGTCTCTCTTCCCTGCTCACTTCCAGGTCAGGGCAGGGCAGCTCAAGAACTCCAGGGTCACCTGTCTCATCCGCTGCCAGCAGGTGCATCCATGTGCCCGCGATGTCTCCCTCTCTGAGCCCTGGCCCACCCCCCTTGGTCCCTGGGGCCTGCTCCCGACCCCTGAAGGTCTCTCAGGCCAGACTGTGAAGGTGCTGCCCTGCGCCTTCCATGCGCCTCTCCCTGCCTCGTCCCCCGTCCCCGCCCTGGCCTGCTGCCCTGGCCAGGAGCTAAGTGCCTATTTTGTGCAACCACTTACCCTTTCTTTGAAAAACCTGTTCTCAGGAAGGATCTGATAAACTCATTCACTCTCAGGTGTAAGTGACTAATGATACCTGAAAAATGAAACGCTTTCTAGAGGCTTTTCTTCCTAACAAGGATCATCTGCAGTGTGAGGAGCACCGTTATTTTCTTAGTCGTCCCCCTCCTTGTGTTACAGTGATGGGCTTGTCACCCAGCGGTCCAAGCTTGGTGACTGGGGCGTCTAACACTGCCACATACAGCACACAGCACCAGGCCTGCCCCTGTCGCCCGTGCTCCTGACATCGCAGCCCGTGTGAGCTTGGAGAATCTAGGACAAACCAAACTAAGAAAGTCGGCCGGTGCCCTGTCAACCCCTTAAGGTTGTAGTTTATGACTTTTTTTTTCTTTTCATCATTAGAACTCTCACTCCCGATTGACTGCTCTGGTTCCCCAGAGCCGGCTGCAGGTGAGGATAGGTGCCTGCCTGGGGAAGCTCTAGGCTTCTTGGAACACGTCACCAGGTCCCCAAGCTCGTGGGCAGATGCAGCCTGCCCCGCCCTGGCTTCCAGTCTGATGGGGGCTCCTGTCTTGGACCCCATAGTCCTGGGGACAGAGGCCCCAGAGCCCCATCTGTGAAGACTTCCCGGTGTCCCTAGGCTGGCTCACCTCCAGCCGGCGAGTCTCCTGTGGCTGGTCCCCCATGCCCACCCTGGGCTGGGGTAGTGGCACCTGGAGGCCCTGCCCTGAGCACCCACCCCCTGCCAGGCTGCAGCTTGCAAGTGTCCAGCTCCACAGTTGGGTTCGAGGCCGAGCCTGGGCCGGGCAGAGGAGTGGCTCGAGTACTGCCCAGAGACTGGGGAGACTCGAACTTCTCTGGCTCTGCCAGGACCTCAAGTGTGATCCTTCCCTTCTCTGAGCCTCAGGGTTCAAGCAGATGACCTCAAAGGACTTTCAGATGCTCATGTTCTAAATTTTGGAAAGTCCCCTTGACAGGTGAACTTTTCCAGGAAGCAAAACTGTCCCCACACGGACTTTTCTTAGTAGAGTCCTACAAGCCGTCAGGCAGTGGGGGGCCGTCCCAGCAGCTGCAGCCTCAGGGTGGCGGGGCCCTTTGTGGCTGCACACTGTCCCCCGGGTGCCTCCCGAGGGCAGGCTGCTGGGGAGGATGTCGGGGTGGGGCTGGGGTGACATCTCTCCACGGCTCCCTCTCCTTTACATTCGTGCATCCAACACATGAAGGCCTCCGGGACGCAGCTGATAAACAAGGAGACAAATGCACACCAAGGTGACTTCAGCCAGTGACGGATCAGTGCTAGTGACCGGCTGGTGAGGTTGAGGGGGGGCCTCTCGGAGGAGGTGAGACAGCGCCCCCTGGAGGCAGGAGGTCTCCTGCCCACTCACCACTCCTTGACCTGCCCTTCTGCTTTCCTGCCACCGTGGTCCTGGGACCCCGTGGGTGGCCTGCGTTTGCAAGCACTGTCCCAGCACATGCTGCTGCGCCTACCGCTCCAGCTTTTCTCTCTTTCTCCCATTAGTACTGGGAGGTGACTTTGTATCTACTTGCAAAGACAGTGACATCCAAAGTGGACCCCTAGCACCCCTGCTGTGTTGAAGAGTGGCTGCCAGTTGCTGGCTAGGTCCTCTCTTCCGCTAGGTGACTGCCTCACAGCTCTGCGTGGAGCCACTGCCTTGGAACAATTAGCAGAAGCTTCACACGTGGTCCGTGAATACCCGGCACCTACTGGGCTTTCCATGGGATTCTGTGGGGACCTAAATGCCCAGATCCTCCTTCCCGCCATCCTTGCAAGCGAGTTATGGCTTGTTTGAAGGGTTGCTGGGCTTGCAAGGAACAGCATCCTACCCTCCAGTCAAGGGAGGGTTCAGGAAAAGCAATTCCTAAATTCCTGGGCCCTGGTGGGCCAGGATGGGAAAGAGGGCTGATGACTCCCCCACCCCGGGACAGCCCGGTTCCCTCCTCCCCATCCTCTGTGAGCCTTCCCTCCGTCTGCCTCCTGTGGTCCCGCTCTTCCCCAGGATGCTGGCTGGCGGGCACGTGGCTTCAGCTTGCCCTGCCACTGATCCACTGGCAGGGTGGAGGCCCACGTGGCAGGAGATAAGCCTGGAGCTGGAGGATCAAGGCCATTGGGTCCAGAGGCCACCAGGGACCAGGGGGGGAACAGTCAGCTGGGTGATGGGGTGAGAGTCTGATAGCTGCATGGGGGTGGAGCAAAGGGAAGTCCCTGTGAGGAGTATGCTTTCAAGGACGTCCATGGTGGACGCAGCATAGCCCAAGCAGGATCGAGGAGAAGCCCAGGACCGGGAAGGCGGGACCCGTGGTCAGGCGAGGGGAGGAGGGGCAAGACTGCTTGCTTTGCTGAGAAACAGAGAGTGAGGATCACGGATGGGCACGATCTGGAAGAGCCAGGGGGCTTGTGGGGAGGGGCGGGCCTGGCGCGGAGGAGGGCTGTTCCTTCTGTCGGGCAGGGCCTGAGCTGCGAGGATTCGGGGACCAAGGGGGAGTCAGCTCAGCTGCCGCCACACTTGCTTTCCTCCTCTCTTTCATTTTCATCACGTCCGGAGCCCTACGACGGGCCAGCGCTGCACACACGTGCGAGCAGACACGTGTGCAAGCACACATGTGAGAGTAGACACGTGTGAGCACTCACGTGCAAGCAGACACGTGAGTAGACATGTGCGAGCACACAGGTGCAAACGGACACGTGAGAGCATACAGGTGTGAGCAGACACGTGAGAGCAGACAGGTGCTAGCAGACACGTGAGAGCAGACACGTGCGAGCAGACAGGTGCGAGCAGACACGTGAGAGCACACACGTGCGAGCAGACACGTGCGAGCAGACACGTGAGAGCACACAGGTGCGAGCAGACACGTGAGAGCAGACAGGTGCGAGCAGACACGTGAGAGCAGACACGTGCGAGCAGACACGTGCGAGCAGACACGTGAGAGCACACAGGTGCGAGCAGACACGTGAGAGCAGACACGTGAGAGCAGACACGTGCGAGCAGACACGTGAGAGCACACAGGTGCGAGCAGACACGTGAGAGCAGACACGTGCGAGCAGACACGTGAGAGCACACAGGTGCGAGCAGACACGTGAGAGCACACACATGTGCGAGTACACAGTCCGTGGGCCCTGGCCTTCTGGACCTTACACCGTAGCAGGTTTCGTGGGTCGTGGTCCCGCATTGCTTGACTGTAAAGCCCGGGGCAGTGACCTTCAACAGTCCTCACTGCCCCCCACACGACCCACTGCCTGTTCAAGGAGAACTGCTGTTGTCGACTGAAAATTCTACCTGTGTCCAACCTGCAGCAGTTCGAGTCCATTCCCTGTGAGGAGGGCTTGTCACCTGGCTTTGGGAATCACAGAAAAGACCCACTTTGCAGACGCCCTTCCCGAGGCCTGCAGAGCAGCATCCCGCCCGCGGCAGCTCAGCCCCTAGAAGCAGCCGGGAGCCTGGCAGGCGCCTTCACCCGCAGCGTGGGTCTGCGTGGAGCCGCAGTCGAGCTGCCCCCGCTGCCGCCCAGGACCCTGCTCCCAGCCTGCCCCCCCCAGACCTGGCGCAGGCATCTGCTCTATCAGGGCTCTCAAGAGGGACAGCTGGTTTGTGTTGCATGCCTGTTCCCCGCATATCTCTTCTGGTTTTAAATAGCTTATCTGAGCAGCTGGAGCACCACATGGGCTTATATGGCGTGGGGTGCATGTTCCTGTAGCCTCGTCCCTGGCACCTGCCAAAATAGCAGCCAACACCCCCTCCCCTCCGCCTGTCTCCCGCCGCACGTTCCTCCCACCGCAGGGCCGGTGTCCCCCGGCCCCAGCCCACACGCCTGCTTAAAGCCCTCTCGGTCCCCTGCCCTCAGCCAGTCCCTGCCGGGCCGAGCAGACGCCTGCGGGATCTGTCGCAGCTGCTGTCCGGAGGTAAGGCGGGGCAGGGCTCTGGGGAAGGAGAGAACGGGAGCGGAGAGGGAGAGGCGAAGGTCTCAGGGCCTGGCGCCTTTACCCAGAGCGCCTGCCCGCGTCCGCGCTGCGTGGATGCGGCGTTGGTAAGACGTCCCCAGCCCCTCCCGGGGGAGGCTGCGCTTCAGAGGAGGTGTCGCCAGGGTTGAGCTGCAAGGTTAGCGAGGTGGAGCGGAGAGAACACGCGGCAGCCATTGGAGACCAGGGTTTGAGTCCTGAATCTGCCACTAGCGATGTATGATGTTACCCTAAAGTCTGGGATAAGTCACTTTCCCTCCCTGGGCCTCAGTTTCCTCATCTGTAGAGTGGACCAGATATTTGCTAGGCCTCTGCCTGCTGCAAATACAATGACGTTCTGGAGCAAGTATCTCTTAAAAAGAAAAAAAATAAATACAGTGACACTCTAACCATCGGGGGCTCCCGCACATTGCTTGATCCGTGCCCCTGGCTCCAGGAGAGGCACCTAAACCTTTCCAGGTCCTTCTGGAGCCCCAGAGAGCAGAGCGAGACCATAGCCATGTCAGTCAGAGGAGTCTCTGTGGCCACATTCTCAACGCCAGGGACTCAGACACTGTCCCCAAGCAGTGGGGAAGACCAGGTGTCCAGAGGCCGGCAGGGACGCTGGAGCCCTCCCTGACCCAGCACCGTGCCCTCCCCAAAGAGCCTGAGCTGACAACACTTGAAGGGCTGATGGGGACAGAGCCCTCTGGGAGCCTTTCATGGGGTGTGAGCCCTGCAAGTGTGACCCTCGTCCCACCCCACCCCAACACACTCCGCAGGCACAGACCTTGCTCTGTGCCTGGGAGTGGTGGAGAAAGATCCCCTTGATTTTCAGCTTGTCCTGGGCAGGCAGACGGAATAGTCGGGAAGGGGATTGCCTGGTGCGTGAGGAATGTCCCAGCCCATTCCCGGCCTAGTGCAGCTGGGAAGCCACCTGACCTCCCGCATTCCTCCTCTGACCCACGTCTTACAGGGCAAGAGAGGAATCTGAGAGGATCGAGTTGCCTGCTGCCCCCACTTCCAGTCCCCCTCGCCTGTCCCCCAGCTCTCCCGGTGGGCTGACAGCTGTAGGCTGAGGAAGGTCTCTGCAGAATGTT